TCATTAATATGATAATATATAAAGTCTTGATAAAACATTGCATATAGATGATAAATACATGATACTAAAGATCATTTCAAATAATGCTATTGAGAATAAAAGAATTAAAATTTTATACAAATTTCATGCAATTAAGTCAAAAAAAACTTAAAAATTTTTCTTTTCATATTTAGAATAGAAAATAACAATTTTATATATAGAATATTATTGAGAATGAATATTGAGATTATAAATGATTATAAATAATTATAAAAAAATATAAAAATCGTCTTAAAGAGTTAATCTATTTTATATATCTTAATAAAATATAATCCGTCCTGTAATGAGATTTAAAATCATCATTTTATTGAAAAAATACAAATGTATTTTTTGTTATGCAACATGAAAAATATTGCAACGGTACAATGTGTATTATAGGATAAATTTTGTTTATTGTGTTTTAAGATATTGATATTTTATTATTGATATTTTTGAATTCTATTTATTATTAAATTATAATGGAACAAATATATAACAGCCATTTGTAATGTATATAAATATTTTCAATTATATTCAACAAAATTGTAGATATTTAATATATACTCAAAATGTCAAAATCTTGGTATTTACGTGCAACATATTTCTAATATTATAATTTAATTTTTAGATATTTGCAATTTTAAATTTTAATATATTTTTATTATTCAAAATTTATAATATTTAATATCATAATGATATAAATATAAATGAAAAATATAATTTTATAAAAAAATTATTTCATTTCTTGAATTATTAATACAGAAAAATATTTTTTCAAAATCTTAAAATTATTATAAAATGAATTATTTGTTAAAATGTTGAAATTTATAAAAAAAATATATATAAATAAGATAAAATTTAAAAATTTCTAATATTAATTATATTTTTTTATTTGTTAATTTTTTTTATTATTGTTTAATGATTGAAAAAATTAATTATATCTGTATATTCGTTTTTTTCTATTATATTATATCATATTATATTGTATAATATATTATAGAAAATAATTTCTATAAAAATTAAATATATGAATTTAAAAATTATATTTTATGTTTTAAAATACATGTCTCAACTAAATTATATAAAATTATATATTCACAACAAATATTGTTGCTTTAATCTAGCATATATATTCACTAACATATATATAATTAAATTTGCTTACGAATTTAACTTAAGATTATTATAAGAGTAAGTAAGGAAATTACGCACGCTCACTCAAGAAAACTGATCGTTTTATATTTTTTGGATTGGTATACGATAGGTGGCGCGACTTTCAATCCAATAAAATGGCTGAAAATTGATTTTTCTTCGGGGACGTGAGTTCTATGAAATTTTTTACATTTAACTAAGTATGTATAAAAAACATATATGCTGAGAAACAACAATGTATTGAAAAAAAGAAAAATAATATTGTTACGGATTGTGATTGATTGATATACTTATTACGATCGAATTATAAAGCGTGAAAGATTTGTATATGTTATACTACCTGGCGCAAAGACGTCCGGTAGATTTCTAATGTTTTTTTGAAATAAGAATTCGCGCCTAAATGAGTGCTAAAGGCCAGCACAATTGCGTTTTGTGTGACTCAAAATTAGAATCCAAGGAAGCTTTGCAGGCACATTTTAGGTACCAAAAGAAACTATTCCTTTTGATATGTTTATAACCATACAAGCAATCTTATAAAACAACATTATTTTTATACTTACAACCTATTTTTTCATCCTATTCCAATACATATTCTGAATTAAAAATTTTTTAATAAGCAAAAATATTTTTAAATAGTTATTAATGATAATTTTCAATTATATTATTGATAGCGCGATAGATTATTTTGCGCTATTTTTCCGACTGCTTGGATTTTTTTTTTGCTCTTGAGATAGAATTATTTCTATTATAATAATAATAAATAAATAATAATAATCAATAATATTAAAAAGATTTTAATATATTTTTAAATTATTATTAATTTTATTAAATAGATACAATTTTTTAATATATTTTTTATATACTTGATGAATATTAAAAAATAATTTTATATTGTTTATTCGAAATTTATTATAATTATTAATTAATATTAATTAATATGAAATATTTTATTATTTAAAAATATATTTAATTTTGTTGTAATTCTATATAAAATATTTAAAATTTAAAAGTAAGCTAAATAAATTAATAAGTATAAAATTATGATTAAAATTTTTTTCAAATAATTTGGATTAAATTAATATTTAGATTTAAGAATACTTTTTTTTAATAATTTTTAATAATTTTTTTTTCATAGTAAATTTTATTACATATATTACATATTTTACATTTTAATTTGCATATTTTAATATTATTATGCCAAGAAATATTATAAGATTTAAAAATTATTTTGTATTTTAGGATAAATTAAATTGCATATAATAATATATAAATCATTTTATTTATATATTATACATATTATATTATATTATATTATATTATTATATATTATATTATATATCTTATTATATTAAATAAATATTAAATAATTAATTTATATATTAATTTATATTATTTTATTGTACAAAAGTTAAATTATTTTTTTATATTATATAGTTATTTGCATCCTAGAAGAAATTATTAAAAAATAAAAAAATAAAATTAATCAATATATGGCATTTTTATAAAATTTTTCTAACATATATTATCTATATATTAATATATAGAAATATATTTAAAATATATTTAAAATATATATTTAAATATATTTATTTTATGTATGTTGAAAATTTTTTTATTAATAATTTAAAATTCTTGTTCAAAAACAGTAAATATCTTAGCATATTTAATATAATTAGTTATATTTTGTTTTGTTCATGGAATTTCTAATAACTCATTTTTAGGAAAAGAAAAAAAGAAAAATGAATTAAAAAACTAATTTTACTGAATTCATTAATGAAAATGGCTTAGAAATAAAAAGTTTAATTATATATATAATTATATATATAAGTTATATGTTTTATATTTAGAAAACATGCCAACAAAGAAATAGATACTCGAGGTAGATCTGTGAAGACTAACAAAAATGACGATACCCAATGTGATATGTGTGGACAAACATTTGATTCAATTACTGCAACAATACGACATAGATTTAAAGTACATCCTAATTCACCAACAAAATTTTATTGTCATTATTGTGGAATGCAATTTCCTGTAAAAGTATGTTTTTATATATTTTTATATATAATATATTATGTATTTTTATGTATATATTTTGTATTTTCCTTTTAATTTTATAATTTATTTTTTTATTAGACACACAGAGATAATCATCAAACATCGCATGATTCATCTGAAAGTGAAAGGAAAGAACAACATAAAAAATGCGAAGACTGTGATGTATTGTTTTATAATGAAAAAGCTTTAGATTATCATTATCGTTCTATACATAAAAGGTTGTAAATTTTTTTACTAATACTAAATTTTTAAATATTTTTAATTTTCATCTAATTTTCATCTAATAATTTAATTTATAGAATGGTACATTTGTTTCAACCAATAGCAACACCACCCCCTAGCAATAAAATTAAATTGAATTCAATGAATGATGCTTTAAGTGTATATTACTGTCATTTGTGTGGTGTTGAATATATCATAAAATTCAATTTACAGCGTCATTTGGAAAGAGCACATACTCAAGTAAAGCAATATAAGTAAATATGATGTAAACAACTTATATTACACATGTATCATATTATCTTTTGAAATTAACAGGAAGAAAGGGAAGCTGTTCCAGAAGATTTAATAAAATGTACAGTATGTGCTGCTTTATTTTGTAGCAAAAAAGCATATGAAGTACATAATAATTATCATCAATCAGATGATCTATATGTAACATCAGAGGAACAAAGATTACAAACAGTAACTAAAGTAGACCAAGATTTTGATATTAGGCGTGTTGAAGGAGTTGCTGATAAATATGTCCCAAAAACTAATACTTCTAAAAGATCTGCTAAAAATTGGACAAAGGTATTGTATCAATTAAATTTTGTTTTTTTTTTATTTTGTATGTGCTCATCAAATTTACGAATTTAATAATTATATTAATAAAATTTGTTATTTTATAGCCTAAAAGAACACAGAAAGTAAAAGTAAAACAAAAAGATTATTCTTCTTCAGATGATGAACCTGGTGCTATTAATGAATCCAGTGATTCAGAAAGTGATCTTCCATTAAAACAAAGAATTTGCAGCTAACGGAGGTCTTTTATTGTTTATAAAATATTTCTATGTTTATACTTTTTAAATATTAAAATTATATCAAAATGATTGTCATTGTAAAATTATCACGTAAATTTTATTTTTAACTTCTATGCAAACATAATGTGATTGTAGATTATAATCTCTGTATTAGTATTTTTTATATTAATATATATACATATTTTTTTGTTTATTTAATTCACCTTTCTAGCAATTTTTCTCTTAACTATTAGTTTTCATGTTGTTATACAAAAAAACATAGATTTATATTATTTTAAATATTTGTATAATTTTGTATATTAGGCATACATATATAAATATATAAATATATAAATATATATATATATATATATATATATTACATATTTGTGATTTATTAGATATTATAAATATTATAAATAAGATGCAAAAATATTAAAAGATATATAAAAAATTAAAGTATTGTCATAAAGTGATATATAAATTTCTGTTTATACAATTGTTTTAACAAATTAAATATATTTAAAACCAATATGTTCAAAATTTTATTAATATAAAATAATATAAAATTTTATAAAGAAAAAAATTTGATTTGTTATTTTTTTTATTTTAATTAAATGAGAAATGTTGACAAAATATAAATAATCAGTAATATTTTTTAGAAATTAATTAGGGAAAATTTACTCCAATAAGCTAGTAATTTTTAAGTAATACTATTGGTTACACACACACAGTTCCTTCCGTCAAATACGGAAAAGATGCAGTCGCCATTTTACATCGTCGATTTTTACGTGTGTGTGCAGTGCAGTTACTTTACGACTTAAATTCTTATTACGTGGGCGTAAAACATTTAGTGGCATATTTTTTAATAATTTTCAATTGCTAAAAGTTAGTAAGAAAATATGGGACGTAAAAAGAAGAAGCAATCAAGACCCTGGTGTTGGTATCCTTTTTCAAAATATCCTTTATTGTGGGATATACTTTACGTAATTATATTTTTCGATCGTAAATCAAAATTATGACTATATCGTTTTTAGAATCATAAGATTAAAGAAGTTTTAAAAATGTATTAATCTCTATATTATGTTATCTTATTACATTTTAGTTTACAATTTAAAAGTTTCTTATTGCAACGGGTAAAACATTTTTACACGTTAAGTAAAAGTGTATGACGAGTTAAAGTGGCTGAATCCGTGAGAAATCGATATTTCGTTAGCAACTATATTCGGCTACATTTTTTTCATTAAAGGTATTTATTTACGAAATAAAGAGTAGATTATATAATTTTGTATTAATAAATCAAATTCTAAGATAAGTTCTGATAATTACTTTTTATTATTTTGATTGAATTATTATTTACTTATTATGAAATATTTATATATACATATATATAAAATTCATGATTTAATGAAGTAAAAAAATAAAAATTACTATTGAAATACAATTTAAATATATATATTTAAAAGATTAATATTAATAAAAATTTAAAGATAAAAGAGATTATTTTCATTTATGATAAGAATTAATTATTTTCATTTATGGAAATTTTTGTAAACTAATAATATTATAAACTATAGTTTTTTTATTAAAACTACTTTAAATATTGATTCAAACTTTTTCTAAATTTTAAAAGAAAGAATTTCTAAGATAATAAAATTTTTAGTTGATAAATAATTTATATGTATTATAATTATAATACATAAATAAATTTGTTTGTTAAAGAATTTAAAATTTTATAAAATTAATTTGAATATTTCTTAATTTTATTATCAGATTATTATTAAGTGTTATAATCATTATTTATTTGATATTTATATGAAATATATTATTATTTTCATAATTACAATAAATCATAAATAATTGAATAAATAATATAAATTTATATTTTTAATATAATTTTAAATTATTAATGAAATATATTGTTTAAATTATTATGTAATATTTATATTTATATTGTCCTTAATTAGTTTATTAAGGTATTGTAATCGGGAGTTTGAAGATGAAAAAATTCTTATACAACATCAAAAAGCAAAACATTTTAAATGTCACATTTGTCATAAAAAGCTTTATACGGGACCAGGACTTAGTATACATTGTATGCAGGTAATATTAATAAATTTTTATATTATATTATATTATATAAATTTGAATAAACTGTCCCATATATAAAGATATCAAAAAATTGTTATCTTTATATTTTAGGTACATAAAGAAGCAATAGATAAGGTACCTAATTCTTTGCCAAATCGAAGCAATATTGAAATAGAAATTTATGGTATGGAAGGTATACCACCAAATGATGCAAAAGAGCATGAAAGGCAAAGAAATGGTGGTAGACCTGGTTCACCAAGTTCAGGTGAAGATGAACCAGTTCGGAAAAAAACAAAGCCAGAAGGTTTATTAGGTTCTGCACCAGGAGCAATGCCTACAGGTTCCAACATGATGCCAGGTGTAATGCCAGGTATGGCAGCTCATCCTGGTATGCCACCAATGGGACAGTTCCCACCACCCATGCATCATATGATGGGACCTATGGGTCCCGTAGGTCCACCTTTCATGGGTCCTGGGTATGTATAATTTATTCTTTTAAAACCAGACAACGCAAAAGAAGAGTTAAATATCTGATATTAATTTAATACAAGTTAGGTAAATACAATCTAATGTTTTTAAATTTGTAAATGTTTTAAAAAAAATATAAAAATAATAGAAAAAATATAGGAATAAATTCTTTTTCTTTTTTCTTTTTATAGTATGATGCCTGGAATGCCAGGTATGCCACCAGGTATACAACCACCAGTGTCAGGTGCATCCATACCGCCAACACGACCATTATTTCCAAGTGCGGCAGCTGTTTCAACAGCTGCATCTACATCTGTGACTTCTCCTTTAGGCACAGATTTTAAACCAATTACATCAGTGGCTGGTGGATCTATAGGACCTGTTAAGCCAACATTCCCTGCATATAGTAATGCAGATAGCAATACTACGACTAATAATAATATTGGAAATGATCAGAAAGTAAATCTTATAGCCACTACTAGTGCTGCCATTAAAATCATTCATCCTCCAGAAGATCTTAGCTTAGTAGGTTAATTTTTTTTTATTTATGTATTAGTAATAGATATAGAAATTAAAAACAAAAATTATATACTTCAGGAGGAAATTAGAGCAAGACTTCCAAAATATCAGCGTCGTCAAACTGAAGAAACTCGAACTGTACAAGCTGCTGATGCCAATCAGCAAGCTGCTGTATTACAGCAACAACAACAACAGCAACAGCAGCAGCAACAAGCTGCTGCTGCTAATGCAGCTGCTGCATTTCAGGATCAACAGCAGCGACAACAAGCGGCATTAAATGCACTTCAACAACAACAACAAAGATTTCAGAGACCTCCACAAGCAGTAATGGTTCCTGCATCTGCAGCGATGCCTGTTAGTTCTGTTGCATTAATGGCTCCGCTTATGCGGCCCACTATGACTCTAGCCGCACCAGCTCTGATTCATGGAGGTAACATGATGCGACCGCCCCCCATGGGCCTACCACCAGGTAAGTCTCTATGATTTTAAATACTCATCTCTATTTCAACAAGAGCATCTCATCAATATTCATTAATATGCGTAAATATTATCAAATTTAAATCAAATTGTTTTTATATGTATCCCTTCCAATATCTTATTAGTACTATTGAAGATGTATTAAGTAAATGCCTAATACAATATTTCTTATTTTATATTATTGAATAAAAATTTATTTTTTTTTTGCTCTATCTTCTGATATGTCTGATATTTCTTCAATGGTTCAATATTTATTTCTTGTTTCAAAGACAATGAAAAGTTATGTTCAAAATACTTGATCCGAAGTAAAATATATTGACATATACATATGTATAGATATAATATACTCATGAATCAAGTACAGAAATGAATCAAGAATAATGATGATGATTATTATTAATAGATAATATATTGTACGTTTCACGGAATATATATATATGTGTATATGTGTATATATATATATATATACATATACATATATATATACATACATATACACAGTATATTTTTTTAATCAGATAAATTATATATTTTCTTTACTAACTGTAACAATAAGTAATCTTAATTTGTATTATAAAATGATTATGTTGATTCTAATGTAAGAAATCCTGAATATTTTTCAATTAGAGAGATAACTTCGGACAATAGGTTTACCCAAAAGCTTGAGGTTTATATGATCTATTTAATAGAAATATAGTTCGATCATTAAGAAAAAAATGTTTTCCATCTGACATGCAGTATAATATACCTTTGCACTTCATCCATCATTATGCAGCCCTTACCCTTTGCCCTCAACAACAAATAGATTTATCGATGGTTAGGAATGTGTTGTGGATGAATGAGAGTGATAGAAGATAAAAATTAGATTTGTATTAATTTTGGCACATAACAAGCACACAAGAGATATTTTAAATACGATAATATTAAACAAAATAAAAAAGGGGAAAAATGAAATAACTATTACAATATTAGCATGCTCAGGATTCATCCGTATGCCAGGATCGAGAGCGTTTGTCTTGTACGTTTATATTTTAACGGTGCGTTTGCAGGGCGCCCAGTCACTCCTTGCTGAGTGTTGAACGAACCCAGTCTGGTTACTAAAATCGTGTTTTATACAAGCGCAACAAGGTTGGTTCTTAGCAATTAGCATGCGGTGAAATGGCATATCTATATATATATATATACATACATAATATGTATATACATATGTATGCATATACACATATATATGCATACATATGCATATATATTATCTTTCTCTATATATATCTATATATATACATCATTATATTTATTATTATTCTTATCAATTAATTGATTAATTATTATTATTGTTATTGTTATTATTATTTTCATTATTATTATTATTATTATTATTATTATTATTATTATTATTATTA